GAGCCTGGCAAGATTCGAACTTACTAATTGCAGACAGCTGGAGTTAAATTACAATGCATTAGTCTGCTGAGCTATCCAGGCTCTATCCAGGTTTTGAGAAATATCACTCTATCTGCTATTCCAACTGGGCCAGACCGCAGTTCCCATCATCCCCAACTCCCAGAAAGCCCCACTGCAGCTCCCATCACTGCCAAAAAGCCATTAGACAGAGCAATTAGAGCCCAAGGGAACCATCAAAGACAAGCTGTACGTTTCCTCTTAAATAACTTCTAAGAGAGAGGAAAGGGAAAAAAATGGGAAAGCCACTTTAATGCTTCCCACCGTCATCGCCTCTCTTCCTTGTTCCTTTTCAGCTGGCCTAATGCACGCCCATTCTGCAACGGACGGTCGATAGCAAGGTTTCCATCGCTGGGTTGGTTGCCAGGAAAAAACAACTGTGGAAAACAGGTAGTAGGTCGGCTGGCTTTTTCGGAGATCAAAAATGAGCCTTGCCAGATTACTCAGCAGTCTGAATGGCAGACCAGGTTCCTAAAACACGAGAAAGCCGTTAAGAGCAATTACGATTAACAGACGCTGTTTCCGTACAGAATGGGTAAAGTCTTTTTTTTTTCTTCTTTTTTTAACCTGAACACACACACACACACAAAGCAAATTAAAAATATGTTCCAGACGAGCTTGGGACTCTATAGCAATAGTCACCAACTGCTGGTCCGTGGACCACTGATGGTCCTTGAGAAAATTTTGGTGGTCCGCAGACAATTATTTGCATTTTTTAATATTGCACTAAATCAGGGGTCCTCAAACTACGGCCCCTGGGACAGATACGTGCAATGAACGCTTGTGTTTCTGCAGAGAGTCTACCCCTTCGGGGTCTTTTTGTGGGGGTCGGAGGGGGGCAGAAATTCTGACTTGGGGTCTGCTTCAGCCTCCTGGTGTGAGGCTTTGGGCGAAGGTTAGAGGGAAGTGCCACTGGTGGCAAAGAGCGGAGGGCCTCGTTCCAGTGGGACTGCATCATGGCCTGGAACTGGCTGACCATCTCAGCCCGCTGAGCCTCCAGGCGCCGGTACCTGGCCTTGCACTCCCGCAGGTCTTCCCTTTGCTTGGAAAGCCTATGCTCCTAGTCCTCAGTGAGGTGCTTCTGCTGAGCCTCTTTCTCAGCCAGATCCAATTTGAACTTGAGCTGTTTTGCCAACTCTTTCTCATGGTGGCTGCTTAGCTCCAACCACTGCTTCCCGTTGGGGCTCTAAGAAGCCCGGGCGGGGAGATGAGGAGTGGCTGGGAGGAGAGGGGCGAGTAGACGCTGGTGAGGCGCCCCTCGATGTGAGTGACATGAGTTGGCCACACCCACCCAATCACATGACCACCTAGCCACACCCACCCAGCCGGTCATTAGGCAGATCATATTAGTGGTCCGCGGGATTTGAATTTATGAATTTAACCTCCTCACTGTCTGAATCTGCTGCCAGATCCGCTGACTGCTGGCGGGCCACAACAGGGAATAGACCTATTCTCCAAAACACCACAGAGCGGGACAAGAAACAATGGGTGGAAGTTTGTCAAAGAGAGATGCAACCTAGAAGGAGACGGTTTCTGACCATGAGAACAATTACTCAATGGAATAGCTCGCCTGCTGGGGTGGTGGATGCTCCATCACTGAAGGTCTTCAGAAATAGACCGGACAACCATTTGCCTGGGATTGTACAAAGTCTCCTGCCGTGAGCAGAAGGGGGTTGGACTAGAAGACCTCTGAGGTTCCTTCAAGCCCTATGATTCTATGAGGATTCCGGGAACTGGTTTGCAATACGGCAAGGCTAGGGATGGGAATGAGATCCGATCATGGGACCACCGCAAAAACGCGCCTCTGTTATTTATCACAATTACGGTTTTGTTTCCGGCGTCTTTAACTCCCTCTTCCAGACAAGCTGGAAATGCTTTCTTGACAAGGCAGCCCAAGCTTGCAGCCATCATACGCTATCTCGGAAAATTTAGAACAGTTTCTGCGATTACAGGAAACCGAAGTCAACTGGAAAGGATTAAGTGCTTCCTATCTTTCTTTAAAAAAAAATAATACGATAATGAGAGCAAGACAGATGGGGTTCCTGAGAAATGATATTGGGAATGGTGGGGGGGGGAGGAAAGAGGTTTTCAGGGTGTTTTCTAAAAGCAGGACTATCTGCAACCAAAAAATTTTTGGGCTCAATTGTGGTCATAAGTCAAGGACTATCTCTGCCTTCCTCTGCATGTCAGTCTTGTCCTAGTAAACTCCTTCTCCTTTCTGGCAATGTTCCTCTCCGTTAGAGGCACCCAAATAATCCAGACGATATAAGGTTTCCTGCTGGAGCAGGGGGTTGGACTAGATGGCCTCCAAGGTGCCTTCTAACCCTGCTATTTTATGATAGAATAGAATAGAATAGAATAGAATAGAATAGAATAGAATAGAATAGAATAGAATAGAATAATTTTATTTCTATACCGCCCTTCTCCTGTGATTCTGTAGGGGACATGGATTCCAGCAAGAGAAACGTTCCCAGCATTGTCTTCCATCAGCAATAGAAGAGAAGACAGCTTATGGTCAACGTCTGCATTCAAGTCACTGAATGAACCGTCTGGATGAGCCAATCTTCAGCTCGGCCTGCTCAGCTCAACCTGAGAAGCTAGATTTCTCTTTCAGGTGAGCCAAAAGCCTTCACCGAAGGCTGAGGAAGCTTTGTACAGTGTGCAGTTCAGAAGCATCCGATGCGATGACCTCACTAAGTCTAGGACAGTGTAACCCAATCTGGGAATCTTGAAGATGCGTGGACTTCAGCTCCCAGAATTCTCCAGCCAGCATGCTGGCTGGGGAATTCTGGGAGCTGAAGTCCACGCGTTGAAGATTGTTCCACACCTTGAATTCTGGGAACTGAAGTCCACGCGTTGAAGATTGTTCCACACCTTGAATTCTGGGAACTGAAGTCCACGCTTTGCCCAGATCGGGAAACTCTGTTCTAGGTGCCCAAAGGAATTGGTCTATCGTGCCATCCCTTTCTCCAGAAAAGGAGAATCACAAGAGGTTCAATGTGGCCTATATGGGGGGGGGGAAACATACTGGCTGGGGAATTCTGGGAGTTGAAGTCCGCACATCTTCAAGCTGCACTGGTCTAGGATCTGGCGTAGAAATTCACAAAAGGATCCAGATGAAATCCACTGGAAGCTTTTAAGAAGATGTTGGATAATCATTTGTCGGAAGTGGGGTAGGGTTTCCTGCCTAAGCAGAGGGTTGGACTAGAAGACCTCGAAGGTCCCTTCTACCTCTGTTATTCTATTTTATTCTATTCTGTTCTATTCTATTCTATTCTATTCTATTCTATTCTATTCTATTCTATTCTATTCTATTCTATTCTATTCTATTCTATTCTATTCTTGCACACCTGCTTTCCACCTCCTCAAACCTACCACGCAGGCAGACAAATTTTAAGAAGGTCCTCAGACGTCAATCCTGACAACAAAACGATATAAAAGGGAGTCATTAACACTCTACGTCGAACGCCCACATTTCCGCAACATGGTGCCAAAACTAGACGTAAACCAACATCAAGCTTAATTCTTAATGCTCCCCGACGTCTGACCAACAAACAACCCGTAGCCAAATTCTCTAGTTTGCCTTCAGATTTAAACCAGGACCTATTCCAGGAAAAAACAACAACAACCAATTTTTTTGCTTTTATTTCGGTCCTTGGCATTGCAATGGCATCGAGACAAATTTAGGGCGGCCAAATAATAATCACGGATGCATGGAAGTGCCACCAAAGTACTTGGTGAAGTAGCTGGCATCTCTCTCGCTCTCTCTCTACAGAGGGGAGGAAATGCAAGTTGCATTTCCAGAAAGCAGAGTAGCCCTTGAGTTAATAAGAGCAGCGTTCAAGCCAAACCGAACATGTAGCAGACAAACCAGCTAGCCTACAACCAAGAGGTTGTAGCCTGGGTTAGGTCCGGGGTAGGGCGCCAATCCAGAACACTAGTTTAGCTCGGGAAATAAACGTTCTTATGGAGATAAGAACCATCCCGAGTTACAAGTATTTTTGCCTGATTTGCAGAGGAGAAAGTGAAAGAACACAGATCATTTTTCTTTCCTTGCCTTAGTAAGATCCCATCGAGCTCCGGACTTAACTACTGGGAGCAGTTTCTTCCTCTTCCTTTTTCTCCCCCCCACCCGCTAGTAGGCTGGTTTGCTAACATTTTAAGGAAGCCTGAGCAGCAAGTAGGTAGATAAGCAGGCAGAGCTCATCCAGCCCCCCCCACCGCCGACCCCCAGCCCCCCCCCAAAATAAGCGCTTCGCTACCAACTAAGCATCTCTCAGGAATCTCCGGCTTTGCATTGTCGCCTCCTTGGACCAGCCCAGACCCCCCCAAAGGGGCTTTAGGGGAGATTTTTGGAAGTCTACGTCTGGGGGACGAAGCTCTCTCTAAGCGGTCGAGCCATCCCCCTCCCACCCTCGGTCCTGCACCGTCCAACGCAGCGGGCCCAAGGTGGGGGGTGAGGGTGGAGAAGAGAGAGAGAGCCAAGGTCGCCAAGCCGGAGCCCGCCCCCTCCCCCTTTTCCCCCATCACTATCCTGACTAGGTGGCTCAGTGGCTAAGACCCTGAGCTTGTCGATCAGCAAGGTCGCTTCGAATCCCCAGGACAGGTCTACCTGCGCGAGCCAGGGGGGTTGGACTAGATGACCTCCAAGGTCCCCTTCCAACTCTTGTTACTGTTACTTTATCCTGCCAGAGAAGCCCACCGTCCTTCGCCAAGGTTGACGCCGGGCGCCCGCATCCTCACCCTGCCGGCTCTGGCGAAGGGGGAAGGGGGCAATCCAGGAAACCCACCCACCCCCACCACATCCCTGGAAAGAGTCCCCCCACAACCCACCCATTCTTCTCGACCCACCCGGCTTTCCACTGGCGCTCCCTCCCCCTTTTTTTTTGGCGGAGGGGTTTTGTTTGCCCGTCTCTATCTCGGCCAGGGCTGCAGCCACTCACCATCATCACCTTGCCGCGGAAAGCGCCGGCAGCTCGGCGGGGTTGCGGCGCCCGGGGACCGTCGCGGCTCTCCAGGTCGCGCTTCTCTCGCCGGCGGCTGCTGCTGCTGCTGGTGTGGCCGCTCCGGCTGGGGCTGGGGGTGCTGCCGGCCAGGGCGCCTCTCCGCGGAGGCGGCTGCTGCTGCTGTTGCTGGTGGTGGTGCTGCCGTTGCTGCTGCTGCTGCTGCTCGTCAGCCGCATCCAAGCTGCTGAAATTCCAAACCAGCAGCGTTTGCACCAGCAGGACGGTGAGCGCCAGCAGCAGCGCCGAGTGAGAGCGCCGAGCCAGCCGGCGGCCGCACGGAGAGGCCACCCGGCTGCCGCCACTGCTGCCGTCGTTCCCATCTCTCAGCGCTGCTTTCTCTCCTTTCGCTTCCTCGCCCGGCCGCTGCCAGCCAGTCAGCCAGCCAACCAAGCCAGCCAAGCCAAGCCAGTCAGTCAGCCAGCCAGCCAGCCAAGCCGCCGCCGCCGGAGTTTTGCAGGCGGCGGGCGAGACGTCAGCAGGAGGCGGAGAAGAAGAAGAGGAGGAGGAGGAGGAGGAGAGGCGAACGCAGGCCCGGCGCTGGGGCAGCCCCCTCCTCGCCAGCCGTTGGAGGGGTGGGCCAGCAAGAGGAGGAGGAGGAGGAGGAGCCGCCGCAGCTGCTCCCGAACTAGCCCAGCTATTCGTTCGGTCTCTCTCTCTCTCTCTCTGTGTGTGGTGTGTGTGTGTGTGTGTGTGTGTGTGTGTGTCTGGAGGGCGCGTGGGTATGTTCACACGTGACGGGATTCTGTCTCTACGCCACTGAGATGGAGCTGGCAGGCTTGGGGTACCCGCGTGTTAACCAAGCCGCAGCTGCTCCCGAAGTCTAGCTGTACGCTCGGTCGGAGGGGTGTGTGTGTGTATGTGTGACATCCGTGGGTATGTTCACACGTGACGGGATTCTGTCTCTTCGCCACTGAGATGGCGGGCAGGGGCTTGGGATACCCGTGTGTTAACCACATCGCAGCTGCTTCCGAAGTCTAGCTATTCGTTCTGTCGGAGGTGTGTATGTGTGTCTGGAGGCGCGGGGGTATGTCCACACGTGACGGGGTTCTGTCTCTACGCCACTGAGATGGAGCTGGCAGGCTTGGGGTACCCGCGTGTTAACCACGCCGTAGATGCTCCCACAACCTCGCTGGTGGCATCTCCCTCTCCCCCCCCTCTCTCCTCTCTCTCTCTCTCTCTCTCTCTGCGCCCTTGTGTGTTCACACGTGACGGGAACTGCCCTAACACACACGGATGGCGGGGAGAGGTTTGGGGTCCCCGCGGGCTGGCCACGCCGCGGCTGCAGCTGCTCCCAAAGCACCGATCCTGGAAGGACTGTGTGTGTTTGTGTGTCTCGACGCGCGTGTGTATGTTCACACATGACGGGGACTCTGCTTCTAACCCATCCGGATGGCGAGCAGAGGTTTGGGATAACCCGGGCGCTGTCCACGCCGCAGCTCTCCCAAAGCCTCACTGGTGGCACGCCTATGTATGCGTATGTCGACGCGCGCACGTGTGTGTGGGTTCACACGTGAAGGGGGTCCGGTGTCTCTAACCCACACGGATGGCGGGCAGCGGCTTGGGTGGGTGCCCTTAAAGACGCTTTGGCTGCAACGGAGGAAGAAGCGCGCCTGGCAACGAGCACGGAGTCCTGCATCAAAACGCGACCGTGTGAACATGGACCAGCTACCTCTGAGCTTCCCAGCCGCCTGGCGGAGTCTGGGCTCCTCTAAACGGGCATTGGATGTCAGTTCCAGAAATAGAGGATCATCACCGCTGGTTCAGTACTGCCAACTGCTGGTGGGGAAGAGCCTTAGAAGCGGGCAATGTATTTTTAATATTTTTTGTAAGCTTATAAATATGTATAGGTCTTGGACTCTGGGCTTGGTGGCCTTGACTGACCTGAAAAGCTAAGTAGGGTTAGACAGATGGATAAGGCACCACCAGGAAATCCAGCAGTGTAGAGTGGAATTTTTTTTTAAAAAAAAAAATTTGATTTATATGCGCCCTTCTCCGGAGACTCAGGGCGACTTACAATGCGCTAAGCAATGGCCTTTATACTTTTGTATATATTTATACAAAGTCAGCTTATTGCCCCCACAAACTGGGTCCTCAATTTACCTACCTTAGAAAGGATGGAAGGCTGAGTCAACCTTGAGCCTGGCGAGATTCGAACCTGCAGTAATTGCAGGCAGCTGGTCTTAATAACAGGGTGCTTTAGACCGCTGTACTACCAAGGCTCTTGGTAGTCTGGAAGAAGACAGTTGCTCCCCATTTTCAAGATCGCGGCCAGGAAAAAGGAAAGATTCAACCTAGAAATAAGGAGACATTTTCTGACAGTGAGAACCATCAACCCATGGAACAGAAGTTGCCTTCAGATGTTGTGGGGAGGCTTCATCACTGGAGGCTTTCAAGAAGAGACCAGACTCTGCCATCTGTCAGAAATGGTGTAGGGTCTTCCTGCTTGGGGGGGGGGGGGGTTGGACTAGATGACCTACAAGGTCCCTTCCAACTCTAGAGTTATTCTACTCTATTCTGAAATTAATCAAAATCCACTCCAGCTCTGAACTTGAATCTTGGCCTATGCAATTATGGGCTAATGTCAAGGAGACTGTTTTAATAAAGGGGAAATGTAGGATACAGGGTGTATTTTAATAAAAATGTTACAGTTTACCTTAAAAAAAAAAAAAGTATCAGACTCTTGTAATGAGAAGCTTTTTTTAAAACAAGGACAATCAAATGGGAGCCATAAATAGGAATCAAGAAGAACAAAGAGTTGAGAAAGAATGCTCAACCACTTTCTTTCTTTTTTTTTCTTTTGATGATATGGGTAAAACACATATAAATATTTATTGGGGTAGATCATATTACCCTGGAGGCTTTCTGTCTCCAGGATAATATGATTTATGGGTAATTTGAGGGTTTAAGAGTCAGGATAGCCACCTCTGCGGGATGGTTTAATTGCTTTTCCTCTCCGTGCCAATAAAGTCTCCATGCTGGCTCCCATGACTTCTGGGAGATGAAGTCCAAACATCTTCAAATTAAGAAGGTTGAGAAACCCTGGGCTAGATGATCCTTCAGCTCCCTTCTAGGACCACAATTCTATGATTCTATGATGTGTCTGTCTGTCTATCAATCCATCCATCCCTGCCTTTCTGTCTGTTTGTCTGTCGATCTATCTATTGCATCTATTGTATCTATTATCTCCCTCCCTTCCCCCCCTCTCTCTATCATCTACTGCATCTGTCTATCATCTATCTATTGTATCTATCTATTGCATCTATTGTATCTATCTATCTATCATCTATCCATCTATCATCTATCTATTGCACCTATTGTATCTATCTATCATCTATTGCATCTATCTATCTATCAATCAATCATCTATCTATCTATTGTATCTATCTATCGCATCTATTGTATCTATCATCTATCTATCTATCTATCTATCTACCTATCGATCTATCTATCTATCTTGCATCTATTGTATCTCTATCTATCGCATCTATTGTATCTATCATTTATCTATTGCATCTATCTATCAATCAATCATCTATCTATCTATTGTATCTATCTATCGCATCTATTGTATCTATCATCTATCTATCTATTGCATCTATTGTATCTCTATCGCATCTATTGTATCTATCTATCATCTATCTATTGCATCTATCTATCTATCTATCAATCAATCATCTATCTATTGTATCTATCGCATCTATTGTATCTATCATCTATCTATCTATCTATCATCTATCTATCTATCTATCTATTGCATCTATTGTATCTCTATCACATCCATTGTATATATCTATCATCTATCTATTGCATCTATCTATCTATCTATCTATCTATCTATCTATCTATCATTTATCTATTGCATCATTGTATCTGTCTGTCTGTCCGTCCGTCCGTCCGTCCATCCATCCATCCATCCATCCATCCATCCATCCATCCATGTATCTGGTCTATCTAATCTTATTTGTCTGTCTGCTTGGACTATCCTCTATCTCGCCCTCCCCTCCATCCCATGTCTGTCTGTCTATCTGTCTGTCTGTCTGTCTGTCTGTCTGTCTCTCTTCTCTCTCTCTCTCTCTCTCTCTCTCCTCTGTTTGTCTACCTGTTCCCCCTTCCACCCATCCAGCTATCTATCTAGTTATCTATCTATCCATCTCTCCCTCCCTCCCTCCCTTTCATAATCCTAGCATTTAAGCTCTTCCCATGAGATCAGTTGATGCTATGATAAATCCAGGGCATATGGCAATTTAATGATTGACCCAAGATAAAAACTCTATAAAGGACAAGCGTTTGTAGTATACCGGTCCTGCCTTTCCGGATGTCGTCAAGACTAACAGCCTGGATTTACACATCATACTAAGCCATGTTGGGGTTTGTTTGGTTTGGGCTCAACAACATCTAGCCAATGGTGATTTATTGAATAAACTATATTTAAGCACACCCTGGCATTGGGCCGTGCCTGAAAAAAAAGAAAAAGAAAGAAAGACCTGCCCACAGAAAAGTTTAATTTTAAAAAGGAATATCTACAATGGGAAAATATTTACATCTGGAGATTCTTGTTACTCCCACCCCACCACCTCCTTGCTCAGTCCTAGGAACTACACTTACCTAGTTTGAAATCAGCTACACAAGGAAAGTAACAACATGTTACTTTGGGGACTGCAGCCAAGAAATGAAAAGAGGCTTGCTCCTGGGGAGGAAAGCTATGCTAAATCTAGATAGCTTACTAAAAAGCAGAGACATCACCCTGCCAACAAAAGGGCGTATAGTCAAGGCGATGGTTTTCCCAGTTGCAATGGATGGCTCTGAAAGTTGGACCACAAGGAAGGCTGAGCGCCAAAGAATGGAGGCCTTTGAACTCTGGGGCTGGAGAAGACTCCTGCGAGTCCCTTGGACTGCAAGGCGATCCAACCGGTCGGTCCTAGAGGAGATCAACCCTGACGCTCTTTAGAAGGCCAGATCCTGAAGAGGAAACTCAAATCCTTTGGCCACCTAATGAGAAGGAAGGACTCCCTGGAGAAGAGCCTAACGGCTGGGAACGACGGAGGGCAAAAGAAGAAGGGGACGGCAGAGAATGAGGTGCCTGGATGGAGTCAATGAAGCAGTTGATGTGAGATTAAATGGACTCCAGAGGATGGTAGAGGACAGGGAGGCTTGGAGGAACGTTGTCCATGGGGTCGCAATAGGTTGGACATGACTTCGCAACTAACAACAACAACAACATGTAAAAAGAAGGTTATGAGAACCCAGCAGATACCACAAAAGAAAGATAACTTGATTTGTATAGAGAAGAAAATCCAAACCAAAACCTCCCCTCTTAATCATTTGAAAAATGGATACTAATAATATAAAGGTAATCCTCAACTTGCAATGGTTCGCTTAGGGACCATTCAAAGTTACAACGGCACTGAAAAAATGTGACTTCTGACCGTTTTTCACACTTACAACCATTGTCCCCACGGTCACGTGATCAAAATTCAGGCACTAGGCAACTGACTCCTATTTATGATGGTTGGAGCATCCCGGGCTCACGCGATTCCTCTTTTGCGACCTTCTGACAAGCAAAGTCCACGGGGAAGCCAGATTCACTTAACAACCATGTTCCGAACCGAACAACTGCAGTGATTCACTTAAGGACTGTGGCGAGACAAGTCGTAAAAATGGGCCAAAATGGTCATCGGTGTGAAAAATGGTCATAAGTCACTTTTTTCAGGGCTGTTGTTAACTTCGAATGGTCACTAAGTGAACTATTGTAAACCCAGGACTACCTGTAGGGATAGGCATCTTGAGGTCAATCCCAAAACATCTGGAGCACCACTTGAGCACAAAAGAAGGAGTAGGAGAGGGAGAGAGAGAGGGAAAGAGGGAGGGAGAGAGTGGGGGAGAGAGACAGGGAAAGGGGGGGAGAGAGACGGGGGGAGAGACAGAGTGGGAGAGGGAGAGAGTGGGAGGGAGAAGGAGAGAAAGGGAAAGAGGGAGGGAGAGGAGGAGAGAGACAGAGAGGGAGAGACAAAGGGAGGGAGAGGGGGAAAGAGGGAGGGAGAGAGAGAGAGGGGGGAGAGATGGACTGGGAAGGAGAGAGTGGGAGGGAGAGGGAGGGAGAGGAGGAGAGAGACGGAGAGACAGAGTGGGAGGGAGATGGAGAGAGAGACAGAGGGAGGGAGGGAGAAACAGGGAATGGGAGAAGGAGAAAGGGAGGGAGAGAGGGGGGAAAGAGGGAGGGAGGGGGAGAGGGAAAGAGGGAGGGAAAGGGAGAGAGGGGGGAAGGAGAGACATGGAGTAGGGGAGGGAGGGAGAGAGGGAAAGAGGGAGGGAGGGGGAGAGAGGGAGGGAGAGGCAGAGAGAGAGAAAGAGGAAAGAAGAGGGGGAGAGAGACGGAGAGAGAGGGAGTGGGAGAGGGAGAGAGAGGGAGGGAGAGGGAGTGGGAGAAGGAGAAAGGGAGGGAGAGAGGGAGGGAAATAGGGAAAGAGGAAGGGAGAGGGGGAAAGAGAGACAGAGGGAGTGGGAGAAGGAGAAAGGGAGGGAGAGAGAGAGGGAAAGAAGAAGGGAGAGGGGGAGAGAGAGAGACAGAGGGAATGATGGAGGGAGGGAGGGAGGGGGAGAGAGAAAGAGAGAGGAGCACGCAAGAGATCTGTCCCTGGCTGTGTTTCCATGAGCGGAT